AGAGCCTGAAAACTCTTTCGTGCGTAGCTTGCACCTTAAACTCGAAACCCTAAAGCCTAACATCCCTAAACCTGAAGCTCTGAATCCTCAACATCCCTAAGCGCTTGGCTACATCCCAATAACGCGTAGATACAAAGCATCCCTACACGCCCCAAGACCCGGAAGCCTAAGCATCCCAAAGCCCTAAACCCTAAAACTTAAACCCTAAACCCTAAAACTTAAACCCTAAACCCTAAAACTTAAACCCTAAACCCTAAAGCCTAACCCCTAAAGCCTAAACCTTAAATCCATAAAGCCGGAACCCCCAAAGCCAGGTATGTGGCAGCACTGCGCAAGCTCTATGAGGAGGCGTCCAAGGGCACGGCCAGCGAGGGTCGGCCATTGGAGCTTTGGTAAATATATATGTGAAAGAGAGGTTTAGGGGTTTAGGGTTTAGGGGTTTAGGGTTTAGGGTTTAGGACCAAATGACCCTTAAAAAGGAGGAGCACTATACCCATATACTATGAATCCCTATATGGTATATGAACTTTAAACCCTTGTAGGGTTCATTTCGTCCTTAAGGAAGTGCAAACAGGCACAGATAGGGATCCCAGCTTTGGGGGGTTTTAGGGTTTTAGGCTTATAGGTTGGGCTTCTATATAGGTCCAGGGGTATCAGTGCTTGGAGCGGAGGGTGTGACACCATGTTAGGACTTTAGGCTTTTCGGGGTGGAGAGTTTCGTTTGTTTCGTGGCCGATGGTCACCTGTTTCATGCGGTGTTGTAGTAATCGCTTAAACCTCTGGCCACAGGAGCCGTTTCGCAACACAGAGATTTATGGAGAAAAAGCGCTTCTGAGCGAATGCGCGCTTGCACTGTCGGAGGGCTGTCCGCCTGTCTGAAATTCCTCGTCGACAACCCATACCTCGAAGATCCGTTCAACCCTTTTGGAAGCATCCGGCGGATGAGAGTAAACACATGCGAGCCGAAAGAGGATGTAGTTTGATGGGCTGGCGATATCCGAAGTAAGTTTCTGGCCTAAATATTTGGTTATACGACTCCCCATAGCTAGTCCCTATATAACAAAACTTGCCGAAACAGTAGTCTAATAGACAATACCTAGAGGGTCATACCCTACCACTTTTTTAGGATACCTAGTTTTATGGTTAAGTTCTCTTATATAGAAAAGTAGGTACCTAAAAAAAGGGGTAGGGTATGGCCCTATAGGTACCCGAGACTAATTCCCAAAATCCCCCAAGGCTCCGAACAACCCTAAACCCAAATTGCATCAACATAACCTACTGAAGCCTATCCCTTTGGCTCCAAATAGCCCAAAGTAGGTATTATTTATAGACTTTAGGCCCCAAAGTAGGTACTATTTGTATACTTGGAGCCCCAGGGTATGCCCCTACATGCACAGTTGATGTTTACTGTTGGGACTTGCAATAGGGATAAAACTGTTTGGGGTGCTCTGATCATTTATAGTACAAAGCCCGCTGTAACCATTCTAATTGTTCCGGCCCCTGTATTAGATGCCGCTTTGGTTTCCTATGGTAGATAATATAGGGGCCTTAATGATTTTAAGAGGACTTTGGGGCCCATTATACCATAAATGTAATAAGGAGCCCTCCTAAAGTAGTATTGGTAGTTATGAAGGCCCCTACTCGGAAGATCATGGGACTTAGTAAGTCAGGTTATAAGTACCTTAATAAGAGGGCTTATATGTGCTTATCAGTATAGTTTCCCTCTTTATAACCACAGTTACTAAGTCCTCTGATCCTTTAAGTACAGTAGGACTGTGGGATGGCGGAGGCATGGGCCGAGTCTGTGTCTCGGAGCTCTGCCCCCAAGAAAACCTGAGCTAAGTTTGTGCGAAGGTATACACGAACCCAAATATGGGGCCTTTGCGTATTTTCTTAAGATGTTTTAAAGTATATTGGGACACAAAACCCTCTTGGAATTATTACGGCTGTTCCTTTCTGCATAATACCCCAGCGATCATGTCAGTACGTACCTAGAAGATCCATAGTAGTTCCCTTTTGGGACTCATATTTAAGAATCTATAAGGTATTCCCAAAAAGGAACTACTAAGGTGATCCCCTAATGGAACTCGTATGGAGCCTATGGGTAATGTCGAGCCTAAACCCGAAACCCTTTAGGACCCTGTGATGGGGAGCACGGCTGCTAATCAGGGGGCTACATAATAATTGTGCATATGGGGGGGGTTTCCGAAAGCAGGGGCCCCTAATATAGTATCCTAATATTATAAGGACCCAAACAATCATGAGGCACCCCTAATTTTCGGAAACACCTATGTTACAATGTTGTGCGGCAACATGAGCACGAGTGATGGCCGGACATCATACTACATGGTCCTTAATAGTTAGAACAGTGTTTTGGGCTACATTGAGTACATTATACTAGACTTATAATACGGAGCCCCCTAAAAATAGTATAGCAAGTATGAAGGCCCCAGGTTTATGTCGGTATGTATCGAACGGAGCCATAGAGAAGCTAAGCTCCTAAATCTGACTGCCTCGAGACAGAAACAATGCGCCTTTACTTGCATTTGGTTAGTAGGGAATGGAAGAATGGTAGTAATAGATGTCTGGATTCTTGGAAACAGACTCCGGAACCACAAACAGACTCCGGAATATTAAACATCTACACACCAATATTGAGCACCTCTGGGTAGGTTCTTGGAGCTGTTGCCCCAGGCATATATTTTAATGTGGGTGGGTAGCTTTCGGTTCCTGTGCATTTTCGACGAAAAATCAAACATGTTTCGTATAAATTCGAAAACCCAAAGACCGGACCAAAGAAACAAACAAAACATAAAGGCTTGAATGGTGAGGTGGCTCAAAATGAAAGAACGTTCCGACGAAGATGAATTTCGCTTTGGGCAAATGATTGAACCCGAGCCTGCAACCAAACGCATCATATCATATTATCTCATCTTATGCATACATACATACATACATACATACATACATACAGTTATATATATATATACATGGGTATTTTATCGTCTCGAGTATTATATGAGGCAATTTCCCTGCGACAGGAGCGCTTTGCAGCAGCGGCAGCCGTAACCAAAACCCCGAGCTTAAAACCATGACCCATAAGCCTTGTAAGCCCTAAGCCTTAAGTCGCCGATAAACCTCTGAACCCCAAAGGGCTTAGAACTTAGAACTAGGCACTAAAGTTGGTGCTGCAGAAGTACCACTTAAAGGTGCTGACGAAGTACCGGTGGTAAGTTAGGTCTTTACCGCCCCTACCCTACCGGTTTTAAGTTGGGCTTAAGATTTAGGGTTTTGAGGTTTAAGGATTACATAGTGACATAGGACGATAGAAACGGTGCTGTCTAAGTACCGTATGGGTGCTGCAAAAGTACCCGAACTAGAGCTAGCCTTGCTCGCTTAACTTAGCTTAAGATTTAGCTTAAGATCATTTTAAGCCTAGGATAGACGGTGCTGCCAAAGTACCGTATGGGTGCTGCAAAAGTACCCAAGCTAGGTCTAGCCTTGCTCGCTTTAGTTAGCTTAAGATCTAGCTTAAGATCATTTTAAGCCTAGGATAGGTTTTCAACTTAGGACAAAACGGTGCTGCATAAGTACCGTCGTGGGTGCTGCAAAAGTACCCAAACTAACTAGAGCTAGCCACTTAAGTTAGACTAGAATCGTTTTAGGCTTAGGATAAACGGTGCTGCGTAAGTACCGTCGCGTGGGTGCTGCAAAAGTACCCGAAAGCCTAAAACTTTAGAGCTAACCTTGCTCGCTTAAGTTAGCTTAGGATCGCGTTCATACTAAGATACAATTAGTGGTGCTGCTAAAGTACCGTACGGGTGCTGCAAAAGTACCCTAAATCTTTAGAGCTAGCCTTGCTCGCTTATAAAGTCGGTTTAAGCGTAGGACTTAGCATAAGCGGTGCTGCCCAAGTGCCGAATGTGGGTGCTGCCCAAGTACCCTATACACCTAGGCTTAGGTGCTTAATTCCGCTGAACGAAGCAAGAAAATACACTACTTTGGTAGGAAATGAGCACGGTAGTACCGTGTCTGTTGCTGCTAAAGTATCATGATCATGCCTAAATACGTGTAAATTCAGCACTAGGATAATGGATGTGTTCCAAGACCGGGTGCCCTTAAGTTAACTTATTGAATTAAAGAAGTGGTGCTGCTTAAGTACTGTTAACGTGGTGCTGCTTTGGGTCTCAGGGTTTGGTCTAGGAGATTTTTGCTTAAGGGCTTGCCCCTTGTTTAGACTTGAACCTCAGATGTATCCCAAACTGCTCTCGCAGTAGCTAACGCCAAAATAAGCTCAAATATCCGGCTTACAGCTCTACTCCTCCCTACCGCCCCAAGCTACGCGCTGAAAACCCGTAACCCGTCCCTGAAACCTCAGCTTAGTCAGTAGAGCATGCAGACACGCACCACAAACCTCAAAGGGTTGGACCCTGAAGAAGGACAGTCCTGGCCCCGAGAGCACCAAGCCGGAGCCAAGTTGTCCGGCACTTGGACTTCGGGCCTGAGCTGAAAATTGAACGTTGGGAATATTCGGTTCACAAGATCGTGACAGCTGACGGTCTGCTGGATGTCTTTTGCGTGTTGCTCATGGTCATATAGTACGACGCAAGAAAAGGAAAGAAGTGATTTGTTTGAAGCGCTAGAAGATGGCATTCTTGATGCTGCTGCTGCTGCCAAGCATGCCACTGCAACTATGAGTTATCGAATGCTATTGCTAGATGTAGAAGGAACCAATGATCACTTCTTCCCTAGCGGCGTTTGTTCAGCCCCACTGGCCCGGCCACGGTTTCTGCAGGAGCTACCTATTTTGGCCTTAGCTTATTATTTGATGATATCCCCGGCACCGTGGCCATTGCCAGCGCCGCAGCTCACTCCGTCCTCAGGTGACAGGGGATGTCGGACTCGGCACCTGGCCGTGAGAGATCGGTCGGTTAAGAAAGTAATAAAGCCCATGAAATCCAATCGATCAGTCAACATGGCCGGCCAGGCATCGGTCGGGATCATCGGAGGGCTCGGGCTCGGTCGACGGCGACTGTCCTCCAAGCAGACACAAGTAAGTGATCTTTTGGCCACTGCCGGGGAAGCAGGGCCTTCTCCGTCTTGGCCTTCTTTTTGCCCGCTGCCGCTGTCACTGCTGGCCGCTTGGTCGGCTTGTCCTAGCAGGTTCAATCCAAGCGAAAGCGAATGTATTTGCTCTTTCCGGCCTGGCTGCTTCCGGCTCCCGATGACTTTGTTGAGCCACGAACCAGGTCCTCCATTGAATCAATGAAATGAATGAAGGAGCGAAATGCAAAAGAATGCCAGTCCTCCAGGCTGACGTCTTTCTCGATGGCCTATCGCAACCAAGCCGCTGCTACCGGTTACCTGGAAACTTCCATAGCACCCAGCCTCCTTTGTCTGCTTCTCCGTCAAAAACGGTCGCGGTGGCACAGCCGCTGCCTCCCAAGCAAGGGGACAGGACGGTGCTTTTGCTTGCTCCACTTGCGCAATTACAACTCATCGGTCACTCCTTCGCTGGCTTGCCCCCGCAACGGAGGCCAGCTGCCTGCCACAACTAAGCTGGAAGTGAATCATCAGCTTTCAATTGAAGGACGAAATGCCCCGGCCCATCCTTCCCAGTCTGCTTCGGCTCAGCAGGCTTGCTCTTCCCCTGCCAGGTTAGCTCTTACTCTTGACGCTGGTAACCCCCGAAGTCTTTCTCTATCTCAGACTTGCCTGGTTCTTCAGCAACTCGTTCAGCTGCATGTTTTCCTCCATCAGCTCGGTGATGCGCACGTCCTTCTCCTTCAATTGCTGGACGTGTGTCCTGATCAGCCCAGCCCTCCTGTCTTCCGCGTTCTCCTTCACCTCTCGCATCATGGTCTCCAGTTGACTGGCGTGCTTGGAGCTCTGCTCTTCGAGCTGTCTCTGCAGCTTCATACGCCCTTCCTCTGCAGTGCACCAAGCAGCGTGGTACGACTGTGACTCCTGCTTGCTGGAGACCATCGGCTGCATAGCCTGCAGCGTCGCCTGGTGCTGGAGGGTCAGGTTGTCGTAGTTCTGCTGCAGCTCCGCGTATCTTGTCTCCAGGGCTTGCCGCTTTGCCACAGCATCGTCCATGTTGAGCTGGCAAACGTTGACCTCTCCCTGGCATGTCGCGAGAGCCTCCGTCTTGTCGTTCAGCTTGTCTGCCAAGCGCTCAAACGACCGTCCGGTCTCCCTTCGCTGCTGCGAAGGCCTCTCTGGCCGCGCTCCGCGGCCCTCCGGCCCTCTGGCCTTCGGCTCTGAGGTCTGAACCTTCTCGTTCATCTGGTCCAAAACCTCGCCTGGAGTCAGCCGCCGTGCCGGGGGCACCTTTGGCGGTGGCATAGCAGTGGGAGCCGCGCCGACCCTCCGAGGAGGCACAACTGCGGGCCCAGTCTTGGCAGGAACCACGACGGGAGTCGGAGGAGCTTTCTTGGGAGGAGTGACCGGACTCCCTGACCCTGCCATCCCTGCCATGATCACCAAAGCTGCTGCCAGCTAACTGTGCTACTGTGCTATTGATGATAAAGGTGTTGCTACCGCTGCTACCGCTGCTGCTGTTGTTTGGTCAGCTGCCCTGCTGCTGTTTCTGCTGCCCGGTGGCTCTAGATTAGAGGTGGTGTTAGGTGTTGCCAACGTAAAAAACATATCACTTCACTCACGCAGCTATCCACTGCATGGACACGGCCCAGGTTGCTGGAGCAAGGCAGAAGACGTACTGTTCAAATTGACTGACTGCCATCAAGCTCAAGTAGTGCGTCACATGTCGTAACGAACACTAATCAACTCTTCTTCGCAACTCCGACAGTTCTCTGGGTTCAGCAGAGCCAAGGCCGCAGCCTCGTCGCTGGTTGCGCGAGGCCAATCCTGGGCCCAGCCTCGGCGCAGACAGGTTCAGGTTGCTTGGAGTTTCGGGTTTGCTTCGGGTTTCAAGGCTTGGCGTCTAAGATCTTCAGGTGCTGCTGAAGTACCTGCTTTAGGTGCTGCAAAAGTACCTTTTGAGTTCTAGCTTTTTGGGGGTTCGTACTAATTGGCTTGGGATTTTCGGGTTCGAGATCTAGGACCTTCAGGTGCTGCTGAAGTAGCTGGTTTAGGTGCTACAAACGTACCGTACCTTTGTTCTGCGCTTGGAGCAGGGCCCAGATATGGTAGACTTAAAGGCTTGACGAGAAAGCTGAATCAGAACGCCCACGGCAGCAAGTATATAGCGGTTCCGAAGCTTTTTGTAAACAGAAGCGTCTGAAGCCCTGACAAATTCTCAAATGCCCTAGGTACTTGTGCAGCACCTTTCCAGTAAGTGGTACTTCGGCAGCACCACAATCCCTTAAAGCCTATACAACGCCCGAGAACTCAAACCCTAAACGCAGTCAACCCTGAACGCCACAATCCATGCAAAACCGCAAAATCCGTAAGCCCTAAACACTGCAATCCCTATAACCGACAAGTCAGAAAACTTAAGCGTGATTGAATTGGCCAGGCTCTTCGCCGAGCGTCAGAGGCTCCAGCTGGAGCCCAAGCCTGGGAAAATAGCAGGCTGTCTTCGAACATGAATGAACTATCGGGAAGAAGAGTACGGGAGGGCAGGGTTTTCGAAACAGTGCCGCCGTGAGTCATGGAAACGTCCAGTGATCAGCTGGCACTGCTTGAGGCGTGGGCCTCACTGCAGCATCTGGCATGGTACCTGGCCATGCAGGCATTGCTGGGATTCTCAGGGAAAGGTTTCGGTTTATAGGTATAAGTAACTGGCGACTTGCAGTGGTGCTGGCAAAAGTACCATTCCAGATGCTGCGCAAGCACCTTTGCTGCAGAAGCAGCATTAAAGGTCAAGAATTGTGACGGTTCTCGCTTATGTCAGATGTAGAGTCTAAGAGGGTTGATTGAAATTACACGAGGGGATTTAAACCAAGAATTAGGAACCCCCTTCTTGACTTGAGTGCCGACGGCCCGAATCATCTCTTTTGATGCGCTACATGCATTACAGACACACTCCGTCGGAACCACCTTACAATCCAAAGTAGAATTAGAACATCCTGCTGCAGGTACTTTTGCAGCACCTTTCCAACAATGATGCGGTAATTCTACATCACCACAAACCCTGAATACTAAACTCTTAAACGACCCTAGATTCTCCTAACCCCAAACATAAACAACCTGTTCATCAAACCAAAACAACTTGCGCCGAGGTTGTGATCCTGCTGTAAGATTGACGAGGACCCGGCGAGTCTCCGGCCCCCAAGCGTCTCGCCTGCAATATATCGAAGTGAAAACGCAGGCACAGTGGTGTAAGCAAGACGGGCTACTTATTGCAATAAGTTGTTGAACATAGCTTTGAGTAGCTGGCAAACGAAAGCCTGGCCGCATGTTTCTACAAGTTTTGTTGTTGCAACTACTGATTGTTAAAGCTCCGTGGAAGGCTACTTAATGCCTAGGCAATAAGTCGAACGATTGATCCTGCGTAGGCATGACTTTTTCTCGAACCGCCATGGACAACCAGGCATCATGCCGAGCAGCAAGGATAGGAGGCCTACCCTGAACTATGATCGAAAACTAACAGCCGGGCTCCCCAGAATGAAACACGGAATCTGACAGTGACAGAACCATCATGTAGAGTGTGGGAGCAGGCTGCTTGCTGCAGTGGTCCTGTCACACTCACTTACTGCTGCCCTTATGGACACATAAGCGCAGCTGCAGATAAGGATGAGCGCACCCAAACCCCAGGCCCTTGGCGAAAGTCTGCTAGTGTCGTAAGTTGAGAAGCAGCAGAGTGAAGCTTAAGCGGACCATGCTATTAAGCAACCAACAGCCAGACACCCCAGCGTAACAGATCCAGCAGTGAGTCTCAACCATAACAAGGCTGTAGCAGAAACTGACCGCTCGCTGGACTGCTTGCCTGAGGGATCCTTGAAGTCAAAATAATTGTTCCGGAACGAAGCAAGGATTGATCCCCTTTTACTACGGCTACCCGGAAATGTCGCAGGCTCAGATATCTGCCAGATCTGCCAGCACAGCTAGGAATCAGTCACTTTATAGAGAAGCAGCAATAATGATGCAGAATTTCGTGCAATGTCTCGTCTTGCATGCGAGCAGAAACACCATGCGTAAAAGAGCTAGCAGCATCTAGCAGAACTCGGATTGCCAAGCTAGGACCTTATCTCGAGGCTGCCGCAGCCTCTGGAAAGTGCCCTTTCACAACCGCAAGAGCAAACTTCACCGGGTACTCCTGTGATTCCTTCAACTTCTCGGGGTCCCCAGTGACTTTCCTCTTGCCGTCGCCTTGAGTTTCCACTTAAGCAAACCAACCTGGAGGCGGGGAATCGGGTGCGTATAAGAGAGTCTATAAAGCTTTCTAAAGAGCCCCAGCTTCTGTAGGAAACGAAAAAAGGTCCACCACTTGCACTGGGAGTCTTCGCTGCCGTGGCCTTTGGTGCACGTTTGACTGTTGCTTTCGCCTTGACCTTGAAGCTGGCCTTCGCTTTGGCCTTTGCCTTCGCTTTCGCCTTCGCTTTGGCCGGCGAGGGCTTGCCACACTTCCGGCTTCCCCGGATCTTGGCCTGATTGCTCAACTCTTTGCCCATCGAAGCCAGAGACCTCTGTGTACCAATGAGCAGCGTGGCCTTCTGTGACGCGTGACCGAACACCTTCAAGTTAAGCCAGCGTTGCCAGGGGTTTTGCTCCCGTAAGATCGCCCGCCACAATTGTGTGTGGAAGAAGAGAGAGGATGACGGCTGTTCCACGACCCACTCCACGTTGATCAAAAAGGCGATAGTCACAAGCAAACCAACTACTCGGTTCAGCTTGTTGCCGTCATACACACACGGTATGGACGCATCTCCCAGCGGGTCCCTGGGACTTCTTTTCGTAACCGACCTGCTCAACCATATCCAGGATGAGCACTGTGGTCCGAGGAAACATAAGCCCCCTGCCCGGACCCGGAGTAGGGCGATGATGGCCAGAGCGAGCCCCATGTTGTCCAAGAGGTTGAGGTGCTCGCTGTACGACATGTCCAGAGCCACAGCTTTCAGGGAAAGCAGCTCCGCCCAGCGAGCAATCCGGGCTGTTCCTGCGAACAAGTCCGCAACGTCTAAGTTACGGACAACCTGAAAAGGTTCATCCTCTGGGCAATTGAAGATCGTTCGGATGCTCTTGGGCAGGACGTCTTTCACGGCCTGTGGCACTGTCCATAAGAACGGTCTCTCTTCTGGCCCGGGCCTCGTCATGCTCGGCTTCGTCCAATCGGCAAAAACGGCTCTGGGATACCTCCAAGCATTCCCTCGCGCTTGCAGGGTTTCCAAGTCATAGTCAGGGAAATCAGCACCACCGCTCACGCATGCGCTCAGTGCAGCCACGAACAAGCATCGCAACATGGCCCTGAGATCTAGCGGAACAAACTCAAGAGTGACCGCAGCAAAACAACTCGAGCCGCCAGCGTTCTGCACAGTCTTCATCCCTAGACCAAGTAGCCCACGTGCAAAAGCAAGCTGGTCTAGTGCTCCTAGGCACGAATAGAACTGAACGATAGCAGTGAATAGTGAAGGACATTAACTTCAAAGATCCTTGTGCAAACTGTTCTGGATGGCCTGAAAGCTGCAGCCTGCCTCATTGTTGTTTGTAGCTCCAGCTTCCTCGCCTGGCACACGCACGAACATCCCAAGCTCACTCATGCAAGGGCCAACTGCTGCAACCAGCTGGAACAGAACGCTGCAACATGTCTCATCTTTTTTTTCGGCTCCCAGGTTCAGGCGACATGCCAGGGATACGGTCTGTGCTTGGGAGCGGCGGCAAGCAGGCTGAGAAGGTCTCTGTCTCTAGATATAGTATCGAAGCCGTTGTTGCCTGATTTCACAAATTGTTGTTTAGCAGCCTGCAAGACAGGAGGCAGCCTACACATGTAGTCTCTCCCCACATGTACAGGCAGCTTGCAAAAAGCCCAGTGCCTCTTTCACGGATGCTGCGTCCAAGAGCTCAAAGCACACCCCGAGATGAAGGATGTAATTACACTTCCGACGTTGGACCCTGCCAAAGCCCTGAGCCCCTCTATAAACTGGACCCCAGCAAAGCTCGAGAAATGAGTGTGCCCTTCCACACTCATGGAAAATAAGCCGCGGTTGACAGCCTTCTGCGTCACACATGGTTTCAGCTAAACATGTTCAGCAAATCAGCAACAGATTCGCTTGGAGCAGCACCAGTTGCTGGTGTAGGTGCAGGCTGCACTTTTGCAGCAGGCGCCTTCGCCTTCGGATCAGCCGGCGGCTTGGGCTTCGGCACCGCAGGTGTCGAAGGCTTCGGTGGTGCTGGCTTCGGCTCGGTCCGCTGCCGCTTCGCCGGCGGCAAGTTGGCACCCGTCTGGAGGGCATCGATCGCAGCAGACATGGTCTTTTCGAATGTTGCTTTGCCAGCGCCGGGCAAAGGCGGGCTCATCTCGGCGATGCCTCTGCGACTCTCGTGCAGCTTGAGTCTGGCCGGCTTCAGCTGCTGCAGCTTTTCCATTTTGTCGCTGGGGGCAAATCCGGCCATGTCAGCATCAATGTTGGCTCTGATGAACTGGGTCAACATCTTCCGCAGAACACCCACGTGGGCATCGTTGAGGCCGATGAGGATAACCTTCACGCCCATGGAGAGCGCCGTACGCGCCATCATCGCACTTCCAGGGGAAAAGTCAATCAAGACGCGTGCTTGATTTTCCCAGAGCAGCTGCGCGAGGACTTTGGGGTGAAGTTCCATATGGAATAGCACCACGTTGCCCTCAGCATCGGTGCAGCCTGCAAGCGGGTTCTCCTCGCCGCCCTCCTCCGACTCGCTCTCGCGATCGGCCGTAGTCGCCGAGGCTGCCCCTCCGCCAGCACTCTTTCTCCCAACTCCAGGGCTCCAGCGATCTGAGCCGATGACGTTCCTGAACACCGCATCCCGTTCCTTCGACGACACCTTGTGCATAGCGGCGGTCTCTAAAATGGGGGCATTCTGCATGGTCCGGAAAGCGGTATTTCCAGACACAAATCGCCTGGCGGCCGGGCGTCGATCTTTCCAGCATTTGGAAGTCTTGACGATATGGAAGTAGATCTCTGCCTGGGCATCCGCGGGCTGAATACTAGTTACCAACATTAGTGGAACTCCTGACCTTTCCTTGCAATCGAAGAACCGGATCCAGGGAAGCGTATTGATTCCGTCCCTCCCCATGGAGTAGCCGCAACAGGACCTCTTCGTCCGGACTGATCTGCATCTCCTTCAGCCCAACCTTGGGTTTCAAGGCCTGAAGCTTCTTTTTCAGGTCCTTGGCGATCAGGGTGTTCCGCCCACTGAAGAAGAGCCCACTGTCCAAATCCCGCATGAGCTTCGCCATCATGTCTATCGAAGAATCCATGCGGGTCTCGTCCGCGGCCGCCTTCATTCGAAAGATCGAGGTGCGGCCAGTGGGGCCCGTGGTCGCGTCCAGACCTGCCTGCCAGCAGAACAGCTTGGAGGCTCCATCTTTTGTGAGGGGATGCCCACACAAAGCATCCATGAGCGAAGGATTGGTCCAGCTCAACAGCAGGACGTTGCTGTTCAGGAACTCCTGTGCCATGGAATTCAGGAGTTCCATCTGCTTCTCGTCGAAAGCCTTTTTTAAGGCAGCAGCCTGCCAAAGACAAAACACTCTATAGAGCTGACATGACGGGCCCACTGATTTAACCCCAAATTCCGCCAACCTCTTCCTCAGACACCGGCTCCTCCGACTGGGAATCTGCCGGGGGAACCGCGGACACAGAGGAGATGCCCTGCGCCATCGACTGCCGAGCTTGCTCTTGCGCGTACATTGCTTCGAGTTCCGGCAGCAACTGTTTTACAAACACCACGCCGAGGGCAGAGCCACCTCCCATCAAGGCGCCGTGCTTTTTGTAGTTGAAGAGAGGAATAAGGACTTGAGTGGTCAGTTTGTCCGCTGATTCCTGGGCAAACATCGGGTAGGTGATGTCCCTCACAGCTGGCGAGCCGTTCTCCTGCGTCCGGATCTAAAGCTTGCAAAATGGAAATCAGTTTAAAACTTAGGTTTGGGCAGCCCTTCCTCCATTCCAACCGGAAATTCCCGATGGAACTCGCGAAGGGAGGCGAAGGGCTTGAGCAACTCAGCATACTTCTCGAAGCGTGGCAGGAGGGCTGTTGGAACCCTGGAATAGAGTACCAGAGCTCGGGCCAGATCTCCAATGCCCCTGCCGCTCAGCTTGATGTTGTTGCCACGAAGAAGCCAGATGTGCAAATTCATGGATGCATCTCGCAGGTCATCCAAGTTGGGGAGAGCTGCTTGAAAAGCATCGAAATTTCTTGCATTTTCTTGCAAAGTCACTTGGATGCCCTTCCTTCCCCAAAGTTCCTCGTTCCTGTCAAACCAATACAAGGCACTGCCTTCGTAGGCCGGTGTGCCGCTGTCCACCATTGCCAGGGAAAGGCGACGGAGCACTCGGAGATGAAGCCGGATGGTGCCAACCGAAAGCGTCGAATCGGAAGTGCCATACACAATCTTGTGCTGGGCCATGTAGTCCACCAGGTTTGTGGCAGCTCCGCTTGAAGCATTCTTCAGCAGATGCTCCTCGCGAATGCTTAGATTCTCGAAGACTGCACAGCAAACATAGTGACTGTAACACGGCAACTTCTTTAGACTGAACACTCCTGAATGGAATTCAGTTCCCGAGCCCTTGAAAGCAAAGAGTGGCCGGCAATGGTGGCATTCTTTTCCTCATCCTCGCGTAGCTGATATGCACGCGCAAGTTTCGTAGCCTCATTCTCGACATACCGCACGGTCATCAGGACGCGCAGCGCAGCCTTCCTGAACATGGCCACGTACTTGCTTTCTTTTGCTTCCGACACCTCCTTGAACTTCAGCAACCACGCGAAAAATACAATGTCCAGATTTGCACGTTGAAGTTTCCCGCAATCCGAATCTGTCAGCTGCTTTCTGTATTTGGCGACCTCCAGGACCATCCCCGGCGGAGGGAAGGAGAAGCTTTGATCCGATCTGTCTCCGAACCATTGGTCCTTAGCGTGCTTCACCGCCGTCAACAAAGGAAAGACGCTCGGAATCGGCATGGCCTCAAAGTCGAGGACCCACAGGGGGACCTCCTTCGTGAAGTCACCGTCTACCTTGCATTCCTCCCAATTTTTGGGATCGTTCTTGACGAAGGAGGTCTTAGCCAACTGCAGCAGTTCGGTTGCCCACGCTGGCGTTTGGCGGGCCAATGCTGGTGCCAAGTCTTCTGCTGCCATTGTGATCACTATGTGCTTCAAACCAATAGAACAGCCCTAGAATCCGAACTGACACTGATGAATCCGATCTGAGAATGTAGTTACTAGTCGATCAACCAGATCGCAGCTTTCGAAAGACGATCAACCGCTTCATGCTATTACAGCATACGCGCAGGCATCGAAACAGCGACAGCATACAAGCAAGTGTTGGAGACTGGCACGTGTAGTCCACTTAAACAGCGGCATTCCTGCACTCTCGCATTAAGTCTCTCCAAAACTGGCCAGAGCCGCCACCAAGGTAGCCGGAGACCAGACCTCCGCACATGAGGCAGCAGATCGGTCTCAGGATATGCAGGTTTGGCCACATTAAGGGTATCATATCTAAAGCCCGATTCCTGGACAGGAGGGGGGCGCTTTTGCAGCACTGAAACTTTAGCGCTGGGGCCCGTCTTAGCAAGGGTACTTTGTCGGCACCTTAAGTGGTACTTTTGCAGCACTTAAATTTTAGCTTTAGCGCTTGGAGTCCGTCATAGCATAGGTACTTGGTCGGTAGTTTTGCAGCAGTCAAATTTTAGCACTCGGGGTCCGCCTTAATCTAGGTACTTGCCAGCACCGTATAAAGTGGTACTTGTGCAGCACCAATGTGACCATTATCTTTACAAGTCCTATAAGCCCTATTGGGTTCAGGCTTGCAGATTATTGCTTGAGGACCGGGGTTTTAAACTACGGCATAAGGCACCAAGTATAGACGCCTACCTTCCTGTACCTGGACAGCCCTTTGTCGTTTCTTAAACGTCGCGTGGTGTTTGCTGTCATGTGTCGTTTCTTCCCCAAAGGGGCTGGCTATTTGATGTTTCTTAACGTTCGATTGATAGGTCCTTTGAAAACTATGTGATTTTGTCCGCAGTCAGAGGCTCCTCAGGCGATATTTTATGCCTATACGACTTTGATAGTGCACATATGTTGAGCGAAAATGACACATCGTATGCGTATTATACCAGGGCGATGGCATTTTGCCACCCCGAGAAACGTGTGTTATAACTGTACACTCTTGCCGCCCCTCAGCCCAAGCACCGAGAGCCGAAGCACCGAGAGCCGAAGCACCGAGAGCCCAAGCACCGAGAGCCGAAGCACCGAGAGCCCAAGCACCGAGAGCCTCCCAAGCACCGAGAGCCCAAGCACCGAGTGGCTGCAGAATCGGGCGTTGGCAATTGCCACACCGGGAAACAGCTGTGCAAACAACATACTTTCACATCACCATCGTGCTTTTATAAAAAAGCACACAGCTTCGCTTATGCATGGTCCGGCCCGTGTCCGTTGCACTCGATTGTGAGCCTGGGTTGATTGGGAAAACTGGTCGGTTTTGTCCGCAGTCAGAGGCTCATCATGATGTTTTGGACCTATATGACTTTCAGATTTAAGTGTACATGACTATAGCAAAATCACACATCTTAAGATATGGCTGCAGAATCGGTCGTTGGCAATTACCACACCGAGAAACAGCTGTGCAAACAGAATACTTTGACATCGCCATAGTTCGATCTATTATAAACAAAGCACGCAGCTTTGATGGCCACCCGCTCCGTGTCCGTTGCAGTCGATCGTGAGCCTGGGTTGATTGTTGTGTGTCGTTTACACTTGGTCTGCAATTGTCTGGGCCAATACCTTACACCCTCGGAGATTCACACGCTAGAGGGGGCCGCCCGCTCAGTGTCCATTGATCGTGATCCTCCGTTGATTGTGGCTTGCGCTTTGCCCTTGGTCTGTGAATTTCTGGGCCAATACCTGACACCCTCGGAGATTCACACGCTGGAAAGTGTGCACTGGTGGATCAGTGCCGACTTGCGCTGGCACATCCTCGCAAGCTCACCTGTGCACTCAAACCAGTCAAGCGCTGCAGGCTCAGAAGACTTACCTGTGCATCCTCGCAGGGCAGGGTGAGATGTGCTTTCTGCAGTTTTTGGTGCACGGCCCAAGCAATCCTGCATTTAGCTGCGCTCGATCATGCAGAGAGGTTTCCTCAACAATCAAAGCGATGGCATCTTTGGTGGTGCCGGCCGTAAGCGTGAGTCCCCAGGTGCTTCGACTGGCAGCAGTGGCGCCACGGGCACCGCAGGGACTGACAGCAGCGGCCCAGTTGCTTCGACTGACAGCAGCGGCCCAGTTGCTTCGACTGACAGCAGCGGCCCAGCTGCTTCGACTTCGACTGGCAGCAGTGCCACCGGCCCCGTTTTGGGTGCCGCTGCAGGATCCACTGCAGATGACAGCAGCGTTTCGGGTGCCGACGCTGGAGGCGACGCTGGGCAAGGCGGCTTCGGGCCGTACAGCCAGGAGCAGGTCGAGCACTTCAAGCGGCAGCTCAAGCATATGGACATGATGGGTATAGACGTCTATGTGACGGACTTTGGTGCCATTCTTGATCGCGATTCACTACGCCAGATCATTAAACGATCTGGCTACTAGACAGAAGCCTCGAGCGATCAGAAAGAAACGAGTGGGCTCGCGCGTGTTGTATGCATTGCTTAGCAACATGGAAGCTTGAGCATGTTCGCTTGCTTCCGCCTTGAGGCAAGTACTGCTGGAAAGGGGTATATAGTGGGCACTTGCACTATATATGGAATACACACACGTATAGACATAGTATATGTAGATAGCCTAGATATGTACGTACGTAAATAGATCGAACACCTGAAACCCTAATTTCTGTCTCCTTGGGCCGTGCAATTTCGACTGGATCGAAGGCACCACAGGCTTGCTTAAATCATAGTTCTCGTAAAATTCTAATCTCAAGATTACCGTGTCTGCCAGGTTGCATCCTCGCCCTCGTGCCCTTCGACATATCCCTACAGCTTCCATATAGGCCTGCTCCCGCAGCTTTCACTGGCTTCGACATCGGAGTTCTGTGCCATCGCAGTACTGCGCCAGGTTTCTTCGCCGGAGAGGCCGCGGCAAGTGTTCGCTTGTGGCCCGGATAGTTTGCAGGCTAATTGTACTTTGTCGGCCACAGGCCTTCTCCATCTCACTCCGACTTCGGTGGATAAGGACTGCCTGCATGCACCCGGCCGAGAGGCAGACAGTCTAGCAACTTGCATGCATGATCGAAGCAGCTGCATGAACGTTTGCATCCCATGCAGCATCCCCTGCTCAATATTGTGTTTGGTTTTCTGTTTCACCGGCCATGGACGCCTTAAGCCGCATGGAAAAAGAGACGTTGGAGCTTCCGCCTCTGCGGCTTCGCCCTCGGATTTCTGGGCCGGGTCCATGCCCAGCCATGGGCCCTCACAGCGCCCACTTGCGGCAGCTTGGCTTCTCAGAGTTCAATGTTTCAATCTAGCTGAATACATACGTATGCGCACGTGCACTTCTGGTGCAGATTTCGTCCTGATCACTACGTGACCCCAAGCAACTCGGACCGCTCGCGCAGCAGTTCCTCGATTGCAAATGTATAATAAGGGACATCCCCATCCTATTGTTTTGCTTACGTGCTTTAAGGCTTCGGGCACATGACGACTTTGGGCAGCGGCGGCGGCACCATGGGCAGTTGCAGCGGGCCGCGAATGACGCAGTCGGGACGCATGATCGGACGCTGGACTTACATACGTTAAACCTTCTTCGTGGCTGCTGGCAAATCTCCCTTCCCCAGGATTCGGCTCGCTGGAAACGCTCGATGGCGGACACTCGACATTTGAACCCTAAATGAACCTCAATCTTAATTCTAAATTCTGTATATCCCTTAAGCAACTAAGGATTTGGAGTGCTGCCGGAGCTGCAGATGCCGGTACGGCCGGCTGATGGCGGACACTCGACATTTGAACCCTAAATGAACCTCAATCTTAATTCTAAATTCTGTATATCCCTTAAGCAACTAAGGATTTGGAGTGCGGCAGGAGCTGCAGATGCCGGTACGGCCGGCTGGTGGCGGACACTCGACATTTGAACCCTAAATGAACCTCAATCTTAATTCTAAATTCTGTATATCCCTTAAGCAACTAAGGATTTGGAGAGCAGCAGGCGCTGCAGATGCCGGTGGAGCCGGCGGTAGCAGATGAGGAGCCCATGGAGTCCCCGGACAAACCCGGGGAATGGACTCCATCCCTCAAGAGTCAGATCAGCGAGGACGAGGAAGAGTGCTGCGGCTGCGGGCTATATAATTGACTGTACAGTCATTAAGGCATTTCCAGAAGAAGTATAGTAGTAGTTGTTGTTGTTGCTGCTGCAACAGAAGCTTTCGACCTCCAACCCTGAACACCATAAATGCTTATTATGCTTATTATGTGCTTTCGGGGTCCCTTATATACTTGAGTGCCATATCATAGAGTATCTTGCACGACGATGCCCGTGCCGCAGCAGCTCCGGGGCCTCGATTTTGTGCACACACCAGCAGCTGCTGTTGCGAGCGACGTGATCGGGCAACGAAAAAGATCGAGTGCTGCAGGCCGACACGACACAGCCATGCATGTGTCTAGATTCCGATGTTCCTGTGCATGTACTTACGCCTTACGCGCCGAAGGACTCCCTCCACCACGCTGCGCAGATGAGGCCCGGGCCCGGGTGTTGGCACCTGCCACCCCGGTGCTGCGGACCTTCCAAATCTCTTGCCCTCTGGCTTAATTGGACGCATGTCTGTCTGCTCGGGGATGAACCTGAATGCCAGGATGGGACGATCTCGGAAGAGAAAATTCTTATCAGGACTGCTCCTTGATGCCTCTTACATGCGATCGTTGTTTGAAAGTGTAAACGTGTGCGCCTGTGCACAGAACGAGAAGCAAATGATGTGGCCCGTCCGCTCAGCAAGTGCCCCCTCGCTTTGCCAGCAATTGCTTCTGTGAGGCTTTGTTGTTGTGCCTGTGCGATCACGCATCATGGATGCTCGAAATCGTGTCTCGGATTGCTCGAGTCAAGTGACATCACGTAAGCATAAACCTCGTTCCGGCACCTTTTAGGGAAGCCGTTCATACAGCAATAACTCTGGCCGCTAAAACATATTGTATGTGCCGTGCATGTAAATCATTCTTGTTGGG